TCCCTCCCTCCCTCCCTCCCTCCCTCCCTCCCTCCCTCCCTCCCTCCTTCCTTCCTTCCTTCCTTCCTTCCTTCCTTCCTTCCTTCCTTCCTTCTTCCTGATACAGGGTTTCTTTGTGTAACCTTGGCTGTCCTGGAACTGACTCTATAGATCAGGTAGGCCTTGAACTCACAGAGATCCACCTGCCTCTACCTCCTCCCCAGTTCTGGGATTAAAGGTGTGCACCACTACTGCCCGGTTCTAAATTTTATTTCTTAAATGGAGTGTACTGGTCAAAGCCCTACTGTAAGCTCTTCAGTGCCAGTAACCCCCCCCCCCCCCCCCCACGGCCTGGAGAGCAGAACTTAAGGATGTTGCAGAGCGAATGAGTGACAGACAGTTGTGTTTAAACCCACAGCACCTTCCTGACTCTCAGCGGTAAGCAAAACGGTCAGCGGCACAGAACACCAGACGGACCGGCAGGTGAAATAACACTGTAACTCAACAAAATGAACACTCTGTGGAGACGACACATAACCAGCACACATTTAAAATATTAGGAAACATGCCTTTCTAGCAGAATCCAAAGATGCCACTAATATGAGTCCAACCCCGTAAGCCTAAGTGGACTACTGATGGTGTGTGAGATCAGGAACCGCTGTGTAGCCCTGGTTGGCTCTGAACTCTTTAATTTCATCTTCGTTTTGTACATATTTTATTTATTTATTTTGAGTGTGTGTGGGTGTGTTCACATGTGTGAGTGTGCATGTGGAGCCCAGAGGTTGACGTCAATGTCTTCCTCCATCACTATCCATTTTATTTACTGAGGCAGGGTCTCTCAGGGAACTTGAAGCTTGCTATTTCATTAGTCTGGCTAGTCAGCTTGCTCCAGGGATTCCCCATTGCCTTCTCCCGAGTGCAGGAATTATAGGCAGGCTGCCATCCTCACCCACCCGTGTTATGTCCTCAGCAAGTAGTTTATCTACTGAACCAACTCCTTAATCCCCAGGCTATGAACTCTTGATCCTCCTGCCTCAGTCGGGTACTTGGAAGAATCAGATGGAAGAAATGGAGCAGACTCCAGACAACAGACTGGATGTCAGTTATGTTAGCGTCCTAGCCTGCTGCAAAGATCCTTCCCCCTCAGTCTCCCACCTCCTGTCCCTCTTTGTGTCCTCTGACGCCTATACAATTACATAAGCTCATTGAATAGGGCAGAGTGACATGTTGTGACCTACATTGGGCTCAAAGGTCACTGGATTTGGCTGATACTATTTAGCAGGAGCAACCAGACGACATGAAAATGGTATTATTATTATTATTACTATTATTATTGTCATTTGTTTGGTAGGGGGTTGTTGAGATGGGGTCTCATGTAGCTCAGGATGGCCGTAAACTGGTTACATAGCTGAGGATGACCCTGAACTACTTGATCCTCCCGCCTCTACTTCCTGAGTGCTGGGATGACAGAAAACAAGGCCCACTAGGCACTTTGGAAAGGCTCTGTCTTTGGGAATGCCTTGCTCACACGTCATGAGAAGGCCGCTCCTTGCTAGCCCGCTGGTCCCAGGAGAACGACGACAGACAGACAGACAGACGGACAGATCTGTGTGGTGCAGAGGTGGATCATTCCAGCCCAGGGCACAGTGACTTCTGTCACAGCAGCTTCTCAGACTGAAAGCCCAGCTGGGGACAGAGTTACCTACAGGGACCTCAGCGGCTCCCCATCACGAGAATGGAGGTTTGGGGGAGGGTAGGTTATTAGGGACCTGGAGAGCCCAAATCTTCAGCATGGGTTTGGGAATCAAGCCGCAAAAATGGTAGTTCACATTGACAGCAGACATCCAGATCCAGCCGCTAAAGTTATTCAATCCACACACTGGTAAATAGACACCCAAGCAGCTCGAGCTTGGCGGGTGCTATGACTGGTCCCAAGGGAGTTCACTAAAGAGCCCAGTGGGTTCCAAGCAGAGTGTGGAGGGAAAGGCGAGGATTTTCTAGACATAATCTGTTGTCGGCATTGTTGGAAGTCATTTTCTACTAGCTCTTTAAAAAATTTACTTCAGTCAGGCATGGTGGCACACGCCTTTAATCTCAGCGTTTATGAGGCAGAGGCAGGTGGATCTCCATGGTGAAACCTTGTTTCCACACAAAACAGAACACTGAAGTTTTTACTAATGTACACGTGTCTGTGTGTACATGCAAACATGTGTGTGTGTGTAACCTCGGAGTCCAGACAAGGGCTGTGGATCCCCTGAAGCTGGCATATAGGTGGCCAGTTGTAAGCTGCCTGATGTGGGTGCTAGACTTTGGTCCTCTGGGAGAGTAGCAAGCATCCTTACCCACTGAGTCATCTCTCCAGCGCCTCCAGCTAGCTTTTTATAATTTATTTACTTTTATTTATGTGCATTGGCATTTTGCCTGCGTGAGGGTGTCAGATCTTGGAGTTACAGACAGTTGTGAGCGGCCATGTAGGTGCTGGAAGAGCAGTCAGTGCTCTTAACCGCTGAGCCATCTCTCTAGTCCCCCTCCAACTATCTTTTAAAGTTAGAAAAAAGCATGGGGACCAAGATCATGCCCAAGGAAATAACCTCTGAATGAGGACCAAATGAGAAAGGGAAACCCTAGTGTAAGATTCTGTGTCCACCTCCAAAGGAATTACCCTGGTGCCAGGAGCCTCCCTGCTCCCCCAGTGTCAGAGGAAGAAATGTCTACAACTGAGTCTAGAGAGGCAGGATGCCCACCCCAAAACTAGTTTTAAATCGTACAAATAAATGGGAAACTCAAAGTTTTTTCTTTTTCTTTGGGACAGGGATTCTCTATGTAGCCCTGGCTGTCCTGGAACTCACTCTGTAGTCCAGGCTGGCCTCAAATTCAGATCCACCTGGCCTCTGCCTCCTGAGTGCTGGGATTAAAGGTGTGCACCTGCACCACCATTCCCAGCTCAGGGAACTCAAAGGCAGATCCAGTAGCACAAGGGACACCAGTCTCCACTAAAACAAAAAGGAAAAAGATCCTTTGCATGCATGCACTCCCTTCTGCGGGCAGCATGCATGTGTACCCATGCACCCCCTTCTGCAGGTAGCATGCATGTGTACCCCGACACTCCCTTCTGCAGGTAGCATGCATGTGTACCCCGACACTCCCTTCTGCAGGTAGCATGCATGTGTACCCGTATGCCCCTTCTGTAGGTAGCAAGCAGAAGTGGCAGTCTTGGGAGGCCAAGTCTTTAGAAGTGGTCCAGAATATAGCCTGAGAGAATGTCCCAAGTGGGCGGGGTTATGAGCCAGAGCTAGACACTACTCATCGCCAACCAAGCCTGAAAAAAGGGATCTGGGAAATATGCCAAGAGAGATTTTAGACATGCGTGGGACCAGGCACAGATAAGGCTCTCATCCTCGCCATTCCCCAAACGGGATTGCTGTCACTGTCGGGGCACAACCAGACTTATCCTTTCTGACCCGAGGGGCCTCCCTCAGTCCCCATCTCTTGGTGTGATTCTATGGCTGGGTGAGATTTATGGGCATCCTGGATATGGTGTGAATGTCAGGGATGAGTGGTCATGGTCGGTGACTGCACAAATGGTACTAACCCTTCATTCCTCTCCTGTCCCTTGCCATGTAATCTGGTGGTGGCCGTCCCACGGGTGAGCTTGAGCCCATCCCTGATACCAGATCCAGCCTGTGACTTGCTTTAGGTGCGAATGTGTTGTTTGTGGACACATGCAATCCGAGGCTTCAGTGGGCTTCCACATTGGGCTTGCCTGCCTGTTCTGTGTGGCGACCATGACGAAGCCAAGCCTGGGTGTTAGGGGCTGTGGACCCCCAAACCCTGAATTTCCTGTAAACAACTTGTTTTCCAATGCTTGCAGCTGCTCTGAGCAAAACAACTTGTTTTCCTGTGTTTGCAGCTGCTCTGAGCACGAGACCCTCAGGAGTTCCTGATGGCAGAGGAGTGGTTTCTGGTGGGTTTGCCTGGGGTGTGGCTATCAGTTAAAGAGCCCTATATAAGTTGCCCTGGAGCACAATAAAGGGGGCATTCATGTGTACGCACCACTCTTGAATGATTCAAGAATGACCCGTGTCCCTGTCTGTGTGCATATGTTTAATCTCCAGCCCCTTTCCCAGCTCGCGTACCATCCCATAGTGCAGGCGCTACACCTGGGCTAGCCCACAGGCCTGAGAGCAGGGTCAGAGATAGATGGGGTACAGGCTGATCACCCCAGGTGAGACCAATGCACAGCCGCCAAGCCCACATTCACTGGCTCCCGGGCAGAGGTAGGTAGAAGCCTTTTCACACACGTGGTTAAGCTAAGCCAACACCAACGCCTGTGAACCTGGAGGACGTGATACAATATACCTGCTGCAGTACACCGTGGAGACAGGGTGATGGTTGCTAAGAAGCACCACTGAGGATACAACCCAGGGCCTCTTACGGGCCAGGCAAGAGTCAAGCACATACCCCGGCCCTTGCTGCAGGCTTCCCCATTAAGGCGCGCTAGTCTGAACACAGTGCAACATTGAAAAATGGCTTTACTGACTAACTCTGACGATGATTAAAAACTCACTATCTATTTCATAGGATATAGTCCCTCAGCCCCGCACATATGAGTTCCATAAAAACATACGGAAGGTGATGACTGCCACACAGCTGCTCCTGTGTTACTAGGACGGTTCTTTCACACAGGTGAGAAGGCAAAGGCAAGAGGAAGGAGGGTCGGCTACCCCAGCGCCGTGAAAACTGTTTCCATGAAACAGAGTCCCAGGTAGCCCAGGCTAGCCCTGTACTCTGGACACAGCCAAGGATGACCTGATCCTCCTTGCTGCTACTTCTCCGGTGCTGGGGTTACAGGTGTGTGCCACCACACCTGTTAAGCGGTGCTGGGGATGCAGCCCTGTGCACGCCAGGCAAGGGCTCTAACCCACCAGCCCCAGCTCCTCTCTTTCCCAGCTGCCTACGGACGGCAGGTGCCTGCTGGGGTTAGGGGCGGCGCGGCGTGACTTACCCGTGTGCGAGCGCAGGTGCACGGTGAGCTGGCTGGAGTTGCGGCTGGCGTAGGGGCAGATCTGGCACTTGAAGGGCCGCTCGTCCGAGTGGATGCGCAGGTGCTTGTTGAGGCTGCTGCTGTCGGCCGCCGCGTAGTCGCACGTCTTGCACTTGTAGGGCTTGACGCCCGTGTGGCAGCGCATGTGCGTTTTCAGCTTGTCCTTCCGGCCGAAGCACTTCCCGCACACCTCGCACTTGTGGGGCTTGTCACCTTTGGGTGCACAGCAAGCCGTGGCGGGAAACAAGATTGAGAAGTTAACGTTTACTCCCGACACCTTCGGGGAAGATCAACCTGCAGGTCCCGGGGTGGAGTGGTGGCTCTCTGCTGTGTGGCTTTTTAAGAGATTTCAAACTTTTCCCCCCCAAGATGACTAGGAATTCCTTATTAGCTAAAAAGTACACAGCAACTAAAAAATAAATATTTTGCTGTTTCTGGACGGGGATCCATGTAGCCCAGGCTAGCCTTGAACTTGCCCCACCTCCAATTTCTAGGTGCTGGTGTTAGAGGCATGCCTCACTATGCCAGGCTTTAAAACAAGAATGTTGAAGCCTTTCTGCTTACCTTCTGGCTATTTCTGACCCCTTTACTCGATGTTCCCCATGCTTTACAGGGTCTTGTATAAACACTCTATGTAGGGCCAAGCACTCATCCACCCAACTTCTATTATCTTATTAATTTTGATTATTGTACTTTTTTCTTTTTGAGACAGGATCTCACTATCTATGTAGCCCTGGAACATGCTCTGTAGACCAGGCTAGCCTCGAACTCACAGAGATCTGCCTCCCTCTGCTGCCCAAGAGCTGGGGTTAAAAGTGTGCACCACCATTCCTGATTTAGCATATTTTCTTTTACTGCCTTTTTTGATATGTAAATCATCCCAATATTTTTTTAAAAATATTTTATGGTTTATTTAACTTTATTTTATGTGCATAGGTATGAAGGTGTTAGATCCCTTACAACTGGATCTTCAGACAGTTGTGAGCTGCCATGTGGGTGCTGGGAATTGAACCCGGGTCCTCTGGAAGAGCAGTCAGTACTCTTAACCACTGAGTCATCTCTCCAGCCCCCAAATCATCCCAATATTAAAGTATTACTTTATTCTACAGACACAGATGCACTGAGGACATTAGTGTAATATGAAACAGCCATCTCTCTTCTATCCGTTCCTTCTTTACAGTCTTGGGCCCGCGTGGCCTGCCTTTTCCACTGCCCGCATCCTCATCTTGGCATAGGTGCTGTTTAGGTCTCTCTGCTAGAGCAGTTTAGTCTGACCCTCGATGGCAGATGTCAGCATCTAAGCAACTGCTCACTTCTGACCTGGAGAGTTCCTATTTATTAAGTGCGTGTATGTTGATATTTCTCTGTGTGGGCCTGTGCATACCATGGCATGTGAGGTCAGAGGGCAACCTGCACAAGTTGGCTCTCTCCCTCTACCATGTGGGTCTTGGGAACTGAACTCATTTATAATGTCTTCAGGCTTGTCAGCAAGCGCCTTTACCCACTGAACCTCCTCACCAGCGCAGAGGTGCATGTGTGTGTGTGTGTGTGTGTGTGTGTGTGTGTGTACGTGTGGTTAGGGAATAAGCTAGGGTCTCGGGGTTGCTAGGCAAGTGTTCTACAACTGTTCTATAAGGGTTCTATAACTACAAACAGCCTCACCTCTTTTTAATTAATTAGTTTTTGTAGATGTGTGTATTTAGCACAAAAACCTGTGCCAGCTAGTGTCTTCTTTTTTTATCTGCGGCAGTTTCGTGCATCCCAGCTTGGCTCTGGACTTGCCAAGAAGCCAAACGTGACCCTGAACTTCATTCAGCCTCTGCCTGCACAGCGTTGGGACTGCAAGCGTGCGCCAGGCCTCGCTGATGCCATTCTGGGGACGGAACCCAGAGCTTCAAGCATGTTAGGCGAGTGCTCTACCACCCGAGCCACGTCCCTAGACCTCGCACTGACTCAGACCCTTCATACTCTATTGTCCGGTCCGTGGACCTCACTTCTTCCTCTTCACAAAGCTGGGACTAGAATCCAGGGCTTCCCGGCTTTTCGAGCAGATTCTGTTCAGCTCCCTGTTGACTTCGTTTGGCTCATGTAGTCCTTCCTGTCATTTCCACACCATTAAGCAGCTGAGGTTGAGCGATTTTACTTTATGGATGGGCTATAAATTACTGAATCATTCACCAGTCTCTCTCTCTCTCTCTCTCTCTCTCTCTCTCTGTCTCTCTCTCTCTCTCACACACATCCCTGCACAAAGACATGCAAATGTTGAGATGGCTCTAGGGGTTACAGGCATCTGCCATCAAGTTTGGTGATCCAAGTTTAATTCCTGGGAACCACACATGGCAGGAAAGAACAGATTATGATAGTTGACCTCTGACCTCCACACAGATAAAGCAGTGGGCATATGAGTATGTGTGTACACACATACACATACATGCACACAATAAAGTTTAAAAATAATAAAGACACACATTATTAAGTGGGGACAAGAATATCATATTTGCTTAATAAGAGAAAATAAAATTGTGTGTTTGGAGCTGGGCATAGTAGCACATGCCTTTAATCCCAGGGAGGCAGAGATAGAGGCAGGCTGAGCTCTGTGAGTATGAGGTCAGCCTGGTCTATATAGCGAGCTTTAGGACAGTAATAGCTATATAGTGAGACCCCGTCTCCAAAAAATAAAATAAATACAATAAAATAATTTGTTAGTCTGTCTTAGGCTTTATATCTGCACGCAAAAAATTCAGAATATTGCAGCGTGGACTACAAAGGTTGGTGACTTTGAGGTATATTAGGAAGTGACATGTTCTAAGTAGGGACTTTTACTCTTACCTTGTCTTTTGTTTGTCTTATCTTTCTGCTTTTTTGGGTTTGTTTTGCTTTTTGGAGATGGGCTCTCTTTATATAGTCCTGGCTGTCCTGAAACTTGCTCTGTAGACCAATCTGGTCTTGAACTCACTGAGATTCACCTGCCTCTGCCTCCCGAGTGCTGGGATTACAGTTGTGAGTCAGCACACCAGTGGGATTTTCACTTTCCACTCTGTAGATCAAGTATGTACTGAGCCCCGCACTGACAGTGAGCCAGAGCTGATCGTGTCAGAGTAAGGTTGGCACATCTGCACACATCTGATGGGGCTGGAGACATGGCTCAGAGGTTAAGACTTCTTCCAGAGGTCCTGAGTTCAATTCCTGGCAACCACATGGTGGGTTACAACCATTTATAATGAGATCTGGTGCCCTCTTCTTGCATGCAGGCATACAGGCAGGCAGAACACTGTATAAATAATAATAATAATAATAATAATAATAATAATAATAATAATAATAAATCTTAAAACAATACATCCTCAATCCCAGCAGATGGGAGGCAGAGGCAGGTAAATCTCTGTGAGTTTAAGCCCAGCCTGGTCTACAAGAGCTAGTTCCAGGACAGGCTCCAAAGTTATAGAGAAACCCTGCCTCAAAAAAAATACATCTGACAATTTCTTAAAGATGATCATTTTCTTGAGCTAGGGATGTAACTCAGTTGGTAGACCACTTGTCTTGCAAGCACAATGTCCAGGGTTTGACCCTCAACACTGCAAAAACTAAGTCATTTTACTGAAATCAAGCTCCCAGTGGGTCATCTCTCTGCACCGTCTGCTGCCTGGTGTTGCCTGTGCCCTCTGGACTGCCAGTTTGCACCAGGGTACTGCCTGGTGGTATGCAGAGGCTGGTTTTCAACAGCTCTGCCGGGCAGGAACCACATGGGGTGCTCGCCACCAACCCTAACCACCCTCCTTAAAAGTGGCCAGCAAGGATACCCTCAGGTCACCCACCCTGCTGTGCAGTGGTGTCTTCAGATGACATATAGGAATGGATCTAAGATTGCTGCAGCAAGCGACGGCTCATCCTCACTGTCAACTTAGGAGAAACCTAGGAGACACCTCTGAGTGTGTCTGTGAGGGGGTCTGTAGAGAAGTCTGACTGGATGGGCATGGTACCATCCCTGGGCTGCGGTCCTGAGCTAAATAAAGACAAAGTGAGCTGAGCATTGGGGTTCATCTTTCTGCTTCCTGACTGTGGGTACCATGTGACCAGCGGCCTCATGATCCTGCCACCATGGACTGGACACCGTCAAGCCGTGAGCCAAAATAAACTTCAATCCATCCTTCCTTCCTTCCTTCCTTCCTTCCTTCCTTCCTTCCTTCCTTCCTTCCTTCCTTCCTCCCTTCCTCCCTTCCTCCCTTCCTCCCTTCCTTCCTCCCTTCCTTCCTTCTTCCCTCCTTCCTTCCCTTCTTCTCATCCTCCCTCCCTCCCCACCTTCCTTCCTTCCAGTGACATTGGTTGACATCCTACAGCAACAATAAAGTAACCAATATGTCTTCACTTATACTCTGACCCAGTTTCCCCAATTGTCACTGATAATGTTTGCAATTTACTCGATGAAACCCTAACCCACGCAGCCCATATTGGGGGGGGGGAGCCACTGTTTGCTTATGAAAGTTAATATTTGGGTAATTAGAATAAGTCCATGTGACTTGGCAGTGTGAGGCCCAGCGGACAGGACAGTGACCCCAGTGCCACTCATGGGTCACAGCTGATAGCCATTAGCTGTTTGAGCTTTCGGAGGAAGACCCTTCGCTCCCTCACTTCTGTACACTTCCCTTTGGAATTTACGCCTCTGGGTCACTTGACAGGGAACCTCTCAGACTTCCTCTAAGACTGCCTGGCAGCAATTCTTTCTCTATCTGTAACATCTGGAAACCATAACAGCACACAAGCTGGCTTCTGTAACCAGAGGGCCCTGCAACTGTGCATTCAAATGGCTGCGGAGCAAATGATATTGGAGCATAAGCAGTAACCACACTGAGAAGACAGACAGTGTGGGGCTGGCATTCTGGTAGGAAGGGTCAGTCCTCCGCAGTGCAGTGGGAGGGCGAATGTGGGCACCGTGCAGAACATCCTTAGCTTCTGGCATCTCTGGGAAGAGGGGGCTCCCTGACAGCAATCCCGGAGGTCTAAAGGATGACTGTATCAAGAAAATTAAAATACCTCCACTTAATTCTCCTTTTTCTAAGCATTGATATTTTTCTCTCCTTTAAAAATTTGGTTACATTAAAAATTGTGTGTGGTGTGTGTGTGGTATGTGCACACGTATGTGTTCACACTTGAGCATGTGGATCACAAACTGCACATGGAGGTCAGAGGACAATGTTCCAAAGTTCCCAAACTGGTTCTCTGCTTCCACCACTTGGGTCCTAGGGACTGAACTCAGGTCTTCAGGCTTGGTGGCAAGCTCCTTTTCCTGCTGAGCCATCCTCTGGCCCTTTCTGCTGCTCTAAAGCAGACCACCTTAGGTTCCCCTTTCCGTGCTTTGTGTCACGAGTTAAGAAAGCAGCTGTGGGAAAGCTGCTGTCCCTGGCCAGGTGTGGTGGTGAGCACCTATGACCCCCGTGAGGCAGGGGTATGAGAATTGGAAGCAAGCCCAGGCTATACAATGAGTTTTAGTCTAGCCTGAGCTACATAGTGAGATCTTTTCTAAACAATCAACATCAACAACAAATCAAATGACCAACAAAAACAAAGCTTGTCTATCCTCTGGTTTGACCCCAGCCCTGGACACAAACAAACACTCTCCTCTCTCTTTACTAACGTGGTATCATACAGGACACTTACGTTTCCCAGAATGCCATCTGCATTCAATGCGGATTAACCACAGTGCGTCAGTTCTCACATGGATGGCTCACGTGGCTACGGCTCACGTGACCATGGCAGTTCCTGGCCTCTGGCTCAGTGCTCACGTCCTCCACTGTTGTTTTTGTTTTCTTTTTTTTTGGAGGGGGGGGAGCACAGACAGGACTTCTCTGTGTAACAGCCCTGACTGTCCTGGAACTCACTCTGTAGCTGGCCTTAAACTCAGAGATCCGCCTGCCACTGCCTCCCAAGTGCTGGGATTAAAGGCGTGCGCTACCACTGCCTGGCTTACTGCTGGGTTTTGATTGCTTTAGATATGTTTCTGCCATAGTCACGTGTACAAACTGTATATTTATTTTGTACTTGTGTTCCTTTGACTTCTGTGAGGCTTGGGCCTTTTTACACGTCCGACATCTCTGGGTCCCCAGGTTCTCCTGGGTGGGTGTTCAGGGTACCCTACCTAGTGAATGACGTCACTTACCTGTGTGGATCTTCAGGTGGCGCTCCATGTCCTTCATGCCGTAGGCAGTCTTGAACTGGCAACCTGAAAAAGCCAACGGAAGAGTCCAGAGAAAACCGAAGTGGTCGACTTGCCACACAACAGGGAGATGGCCAGCAACACAGGAAAGATACCGACAACACATGCCAGACACAGCACAGTACTGATCTGACACAAACCAAAATCAAAAGGAGGCCGGGCAGTGGTGGCACACGCCTTTAATCTCAGCACTTGAGCGGCAGAAGCAGGTGGATCTCTGTGAGTTTAAGGCCAGCCTGGTCTACAGAGAGAGTTCCACAGGACAGCCAGGGCTGTTACACAGAGAAACCCTGTCTTGAAAATTCCAAACAACAACAACAACAAAAACAACAACAACAACAAAAAAAACAAAACCCAAACTCCCCAAAACTCTAAAAACCAAAAGAGTCAGCAGAATAATGATGCATCATATTTTACAACAATGGTTCTCAACCTGTGGGTCGGGACTTCCTCGGTATCCTGCATATCAGATATTTACATGATGATTGATAACAGTAGCGAAAATTATAGTTATCAGGTAGCAGAGGGATAGTTTTATGGCTGGGGGTCACTGCCACATGAGGAACTGTATGGAATAAAAGGTGGCAGTGTTAGGAAGGTTGAGAACCAGTGTTCTACAACATGGCCCATGGGCCAGAAAGACAGCCATCAGGCAGACAAATGCTCTCTTGTTTAGAGAAGACTGAAGATTCATAAGAACCAGAGTAGCCAGGGCTGGAGACGGTGCAGCAGTTAGCGCACAGGCCGCTCTACCAGAGGACCCAGGTTTGGTGCCCAGCCCCCACACGGAAGCTCACAACCACCTGTGACTCTAGTTCCAGAGGGTTCCGCGCCCTCTTCTGGGCATCCAACACACGTGGGAGGGGGAGGGTATAGGCTTATACACAGGTGTAGACTTATACTCATAAACCTTTAGGAATAATAAGAATTCACCAAGAAGCTGGGCACCGTGGCTCAGGCCTCTACTTCCAACAGGTGGGAGGCTGAGGCAGGAGAATCATGAGTTCGAGGCCCACCAAAGCAGTATAGTGAATTCCAGGTCTGGTTGAGCTACAGAGTCAGGACCCAGCCTCCCCACATTAAAACAAATCCTATGAACCTTGTCTGCCCTTGCGGTGCTCAGAGTCCCCTTTACCTGGATAGCAGCAGCCCAGTCTCTTCTGCCCAAGGGACGTGGTGGGCTTTTTGGCACGTGTCTTGGCGGGGAGCGAGATCACGGTGGCTGTCTGGTTTTCGTTGCTCTCCGTGGGCAGGTAAGTTTGATAGCCATGTTCAAAGACGAATTCTGGAGCTGAAACTAAAGGGCCCAGTGCTTATTAATTTCCACAACGCAGAGCGATGATGTAACTCAATCCAGCTAATGCAGCACGAGAGAAACAAGAATCTCTCACTCAAAAATCAAGTGTGTGAGGTGTAGGGATGGCTCAGTGGGTAAGAGCACTGGCTGCTCTCCCAGAGGACTCAGGTTCAATCCCCAGCACCCACACAGTGGCTCACAACTGTCTGTAACTCTAGTTCCAGGGGATCTGAGGCCCTCTTCTGGTCTCATTGATACCAGGCACGCATAGGCTACATAGACAAATGGAGGGAAAATACTCACATACATTAAAAAATCCTTTAAAAATTGGTTAATTTCGGTATGTGATGGTTTTTATTTGCACTTTTTAAACTATTAATATTAATTTAAAAAAATCAAGTGGCTGGGTGGTGGTGGCACACACCTTTAATCCCAGCACTTAGGGAGCAGAAGCAGGTGGATCTTTGTGAGTTCCAAGTCAGCCAGGTCTACATAGGGAATACCAGACAGCCAGAGCTACAAACTGCCTTAACCCTCACACTCTGAATAAAAACAAGTGCTTTTGAAGGTGGTGGCAAAAAGTCTTTAATTCCAGCACTTAAGAATTCAAGGCCAGCCTAGTCTATATAGTGAGCCCCAGACAGCCTGAGCTACACGATGAGACCCAGTCTCAACAAAGTGACCATCCAACCACAACCGCAACACAAATGCTGGTCTAGGGCTCTAAAACACCAGTCAAGACAGGGTCTCACCTAACTCAGGCTGGCCTCCAAATCACTATGTAGCTGAGGTTGATTTTGAGCTCCTATAAACTTGGATTACAAGTAGGTAGCAATATTTCATTTGTATTTTAATAAATAAAGCTTGCCTGAAGATCAGAGAGTAAAACAGCCCTACTGATCAGCCTTACAAACCAGGCAATGGTGACACACACCTTTAATCCCAGTAGCTACACTAGTTGCCATTGAAACTGGGCGGTAGTGGTGCACACCTTTAATCCCACCCCTAGAGAGGAATCTAAGACGGGAGGAGACAGCTCTCAGATAGTCTCATTCTGAGATTCCTGGAGGCAGGATCGCCATTTTGGACTGAGGTAGGAGCCAGTGGCTGGCTGTTTTGCTTTTCTCACCTTCAGGTTGAACCCCAGTTTTCGTCTCTGGGCTTTTATGCATCATGCTACAGGTATACACCACCATCCCTAGTTTTGAACTCCTTTCTCTTTTTGATGTTAAAGATTGGCCTTATTTATTTGTGTGTGGTGGCATCTGCAGAAGACAGGGGACATCACTAAGAGCTGGAGTTACAGGTGTCTGCAAGACACCTGACTTGTCATGTGGCGCTGGGATCCGAACTCTGATTCCCATGATTTAGCAACAAGTCCTCTTAAACGCCGAGCCATCTCCGCAGCCCCAGCTTCAGACCTCTTGAACGAGCAATGAATGTCCTTAAAACTGATGTCATGTAGGCACCGTTAACTGCAGGCAGATGTACAAGGCACTCTCCTGAGAGTCTGAGAGTCCTAAAACTCCAGGACTTCTCTCAAAACTCAGGCATCCGTGATATCTCACTGCAATTTAGAGTTACAAAACAAAGCAAAACAAAACTGTAAAGACAGAAGAAAACAAAAATATCCCAAATGAGATCATTAAAAAAATAAGGGAGGAAGTCTTGCATTTTTCTGCTTATAATTTTTTGTGCCCATTTTGTGAATGATGTTCTTGGTTTTAGCATTTGGCCATGGGGGGCCTATGTTCACCGGGGTCAGGCAAGGTGGAGAGGTCCCGTCTTTACCACTTTATTTCCAGAATATATTGATCTGAATCAACCCAGACCTGCCATCATAACCTAGCTCCATTTGCCAAAGAAATCCAACCATAGTCCATTTTCTTCTAAGACCAAAGGCCCAGCAAAATGAGAAACACAGCAGATAAATCCCAGATAGGGCAGCTGGTAAAAATACTTAACCTCAGCTGGGCGGTGGTGGCGGCGCAGGCCTTCAGTCCCAGCTCTGTGAGTTCAAGGCCAGCCTAGTCTACAGAGCGAGTTCTAGGACAGTCAGGTTTACACACAGAGAAACCCTGTCTTGAAAAACCAAAACAACTTTCACCGTCCAGGTCATTGAAAATGAAACCCGAGAAACTGCCACAGTCAGGAAGGATCTAAGGAGATGTCACAATACAGAGCGTTGTGTGTGTCCCGAACCAGCACTGTTAAAGATTTATTTATATCTTATGTGCATGAGTATTTTACTTGCATATATGTCTGCACACCATGTGTGTGCCTGGTACCATTGCAGGTCATTGGATCCCCTGGAGTTTGAATTACAGATGGTTGTGAACCACCATGTGGGTGCTGGGAACTGAAACCTGGTCCTTTGCAAGAGCAGCAAGTGCTGCTCTAACCACTGAGCAACCCCTGCAGCCTCTTAGACATTGATTTTAACATGTGGTTTCCTCCTCCTCCTCCGGATGATTTTCTTGCAGGGTAGTTGGCTTGGCTTTGTTTTTGTCTCTGAGTAATGCCTCCTTGTTAAGGTCCTCACCTTCACTTCCGGTGCCAACAGCATCCCATTCTGGGTTCCTCACCAGGAAAACCCAATTACCTTTATGGAGTCCACTTCCATCTCCACTCCTGACACCATCTGGGGAGGCATGGTTTCAGCTGAACCCCAACAGTGGCCAGGGGGACCTCTTTAGGAAGATCACGAGGGGGCCGGAGAGATGGCTCAGTGGTTAAGAACACCGGCTGCTCGGGCAGAGGACCTGGGTTTGGTTTTCATCAGCCACATGGCGGCCCACGACCATTCGTAACTCCACTTCCAGGGGTTTGCACACGGTATAAACGCACAGAGGCACACATATGTGCACATAAATAAGTTACATATAAATAGAAATCCTGCTAAAATAAACTGCACGCAGCCATCACCTCCCAGCACACACCTCCTCTTCTGCTATCACGATATATAAACACACACTCTAATCTCTGGCCGAGAGTCCAGGTCCGCTCACCAGCACCTTTCTGGAGTCTTCATGACGCTGTCACTGATTTACGACAGATGACACCCAGGCTCTCACAACTTTTGGCATCTGAGCAAACTCAGTTTCTACTTTTCTCAGTGGGGGAACTGTCGTGGAGGTCTGGCCACTGAAGGTCAGCTGTGGAGTTCTGACAAGCACTGTTCTGTCTCGACACCCAGTCTCTCTGAGCGGCCCACTTGCCTGTGTGCTCGTGGCTAGAAAAGCCGCTGATTATTGAGAGCTCAGCGGGCTCTTCTGTAGGATTGGAAGATAAGGCTGTTGAGAGCAGTGCAGACGATGGAGGTCTGGCTTGTGAAGCTTCAGAGAGGAGCAAAGACTTTACAGGGCATTTTGTGGGAAGATTTTGTGGTTCTGGTTAGCAGGGCTGCAGAATCAGCTGGGATTAACAGGAGACCAGACCATTAAGGAAGGAGAAACCTTTGCTTTGCTGGGATACTCGATGCTGGTCGGCTGGAGCTGCAAATCCAGCAGTGATTAAGAAGAGATCAGCTGGGCGGGGGTGGCATATGCCTTAATCCCTGAGCTCCGGAGACAGAGGCAGGCAGATCTCTGAGTTCAAGGCCAGTCTGGTTTACAAAGTGAGTTCCAGGACAGCCAGGACTACACAGAGAAACCCCGTCTCAAAAAGCTGAAAAAAGAAAAGTTCAGCATCACAGAGGTGAAAACTTCTGGGAAGTGTTCCCTCAGGGTCAGTACACAGAAGCTGTGTTCCACACCAGCCATGCTGACCGCTGAATTTGGTAGCGTTAAGAGTCACGCAGGTGCTGTTGGTTTTGAAGGTGTGCAGGAGTCATGGAGAGCGGCTGAGGCTTGGCACCGTGTGGCAGGGCTGGAGTCCCTCAGAAGAGCTCAGGAGAGGCTATTGGTGAAAGCGCGGCCCTGCTGCAGCACGCGACCCCAGCAGTTTGGAGATGCTGGTACCCGGGATGGCCACCAAGAACAGCAGTAGCGGTGGAGTGGAGCCAGCCTGAGCCCAGAAGACAAGCTGTGTGTGCTGCAGGGGGCGGAGCTGGGGAACTGACCAAGCCCCTTGGAGGAGCCCAGAAGATGGTGAGTGGATCCCAGATAATTGGGCACTGAGTTTCTTACACTGTTGGAGTTTGGTTTTGCTTTGTGTAGATTGCGACTGTGCCCTGGTTCTTCCCTCCTGAAGAAAGTAACTTAATTTTGATTTTTTTTTTCTTTCCCGAGACCAGGTGGGCCTTGAGTTCAGAGATCCACCTGCCTCCAGCCTCCTGGGCCTCTGCCTCCTTAAATGCTGGGATTAAAGATGTGGGCCACCACTGCCCGGCTTAAGTTTGATTTTTATAGGAGCCCACAGCTGAAAGACTTTGAACTTTTATTTTAAAATGTTTGGGATTTTTAAAGAGACTAAACTTTTAATGTGTTTGAATTTTTGAACTTATTTGTTTTATGTTGGGGTATTAATATTAATGAGTCATCTTGGGGATAAATGATAAAGGAAAGGCTCTAACAGAAAAGCAATGTTTGTGTGTCAAGCTGACAGGGGTCAGTTTTACTGGCAAGTTTTATGTCAACTTGACACAAGCTAGCATCATCACAGAGAAGGGAGCCTCACTTAAGAAAATGCTTCTATAAGATCGGGCCGGATGCAAGCCAGCAGGGCATTTTCTTAATTAGTGAATGACGGGGCGGGACAGCCCATTTAAAGGAAGTGCCACTTCTGGGATGGTGATCCTAAGTTCTATAACAGTGGTTCTCAACCTCCCAATGCTGCAATGCTTTTAATGCAGCTCCTGTTGTGGCCTCTCAGTCTGCCCCAGCCCTGCAACTGTCAGCCACATTCCGAGGGACTGGTTTGGGCCTATGCTGCTACAAGCCCTTGGAGTCATGATTTGAGCATCTTCTCTCATTCTGAGGCTACTCTTTCTTCCTCTCATGGCCAGTGCTGCTCTCTAATGTCAAGATTAGATGCAGATGGGAGCATGGGGGTGGGCAAGTGGAATCCAGCGGGGACAGCCAGGCACAGCTGGGGTCATTCTGGGGATGGTGCTAATCACAGGAGACCCACACAGTCTAGAGGCAGAGCCACAGGCCAAAAAGGATCTACTCAAGTGTGAGCTGGGAGGCTTCACCTCCGAGTCTCATTTTCTTTTCTTTTTTTCTTTCTCTTTCTTTCTTTCTTTCTTTCTTCCTTCCTTCCTTCCTTCCTTCCTTCCTTCCTCCCTCCCTCCCTCCCTCCCTCCCTCCCTCCCTCCCTCCCTCCCTCTCTCTCTCTCTCTCTCTCTCNCCTCCCTCCCTCTCTCTCTCTCTCTCTCTCTCTCTCTCTCTCTCTCTCTTCCCTCCCTCCCTCCTTCCATTCTTATTTATTTATATGTGTATGTGTGCTATCACACATATAGAGAGGTCTGAGCTTCATCAAGGGCCATCTCAGAATGAGGGCATGGGAGCCATCAGAAATTGTCACTGACATGGGAAGGTCTGAGGCTTGGGCCAAGCGAGTGACTCTCCAACCTGCCAGAGCCGTGGGTCCCCCAGGGAGCTTCTTCAGTGAAGCTGGAGTCTCCACCCCAGAAATCCTGTTTCCTCCCAAGGTGGAGCCTGGGTACTGGTGTCTAACAAGTTCCCCCAAGGACCCTGATCTACAAGCGGGTCTTAGAACTGACAGCTAACAAAGCAGCTAAGTCCAAGGTGGTGGTGGGGATGAGAGGGGAGTCCAGACAAAAGACAAGCAGGATCCTATTTGGTTGTCTGGAGAAGGGCAGCTGAGTCGGGCAGAGAGAGTCAGACACTTGAGGTTGGCACATCAGCCAGTCGCCACTTTATCTGTTAGACTCTGCGCGTCTCACGGACCCCAGCAGCCATCCCTGCCCTCTAGTGGACCATTATCAACAGAATTCCTGTGCCAGCCCAGGCATGAAGCTGTGGCCAGAGCTATCAGACGGATGTGGGATATAAGACTTGGGTGTCTCTGGACAGGAGATGTCTCCCTGAACTGGATACCAAGAGAACCCCACGCCTGGCCTGAGGTCAGAGCTGCAATTCTAGGCAGAGGGAACACTACCTGCTAGGGCTCTAGGGTGCTAAGAAATGGGGTTCACTGGAAAAATTGCAAGGAAAAACGTGCGTGCCATGGCTGTACATGTGGAGGGCATGTGTGTGAGGGAGGTCAGAGCCGTGTGTGTAGACTGTCACCAGGTGCCATCAGCCCAGCAGAGCTGGGAAAGGCATTTCCAGCAGAAGCAATAGAGAAAGAAAAGGCTCAGAAGTCAGTGTGGTGAACGCTTCAGGCAAAGTGTGGTTCAAAGCTTTCCACGCAGCAGAATCCCTCGGAATTTGTCTTACAATTCTTCCTGGAGTTTTGTGTTTGCAGTCAGGAAGCTCAGCTCTCTTCAGGGAGATGCCCATGAGGAAAAGGACGAAGCACTCGTTCCAGGACAGCCCTGGACCTGGAGTATAGTATATGTGCCACTTTCAGACATGTGCATGAACATGGGTGTGGTATGTGTGCCTTGCTTGTGCACACGCTCTCGGAGTCAGGGGGAGGGAACTTGATCCTCTGGAACTAGTTACAGATGTTTTGAGCCACAATGTGGGGGCTGAGAACTGAACCCAGGTCCTCTGCAAGAGCAGCCAGTCCTCTCCAGCCTCACGTCTCAAATTTTAGACAGCACATGAATAATTTATAAAAGTGGGAAGTTGGCTGACCCTTGGCTCCAGTAGATCTTGGAGCTGAGACCGAGAACATTTGGGCTGTTGAGATGGCTCAGCTGGTAAAGGTGTTTGCTGCCAAGTCTGACCACCTGAGTTCGATTCCCAGCGCTCACCTGGTAGAAAGAATCAACTCTAAAGTTGCTGGCACACACACACAAACATAATTTAACCTAATTAGGAAAATTCTTTTTTTTTTTTTTTTTTTTTTTTTTTGGCAACTAAAAAATCAAAACACAGAACTGGCCGGACCCAAAGAAGAACTGCTTTGTGGGTGGTTTTTCCAGTTTACCACAGTCTGTGCCGGGGGCCCTAACGCCCACCCCCTTCAGGCTCTCATCGATTTTGCTTCCTGTAACAGTGAGTGTAACACTGTTAGATTTGCACACACCTGCCCTGCTCTCTCACAGACACGGCCCCTCTTTCTGAGGCTCAGGCACTTTGCGCTGTATGGTGTCTGACATGGTTTTACCCACCTCTCCTCTGAACGTCACATCACACATAAAACTGACTTTGTCCATAGTAAAAACTGTAACGAACACCCTTCATCTGCCATTAAGCTTTACAGCATAAACACTTAGAGACTGACCCATTACAAGTATTTAGGCATAGTTCATTAATTAGTTCTTTCTATTTTATTTATGTGTGTGCGTTATGTAGGCGCACGTACACACATAGTGTATGTGGGCAGAGGTCAGAAGACCACCCAGGGAGAGCACTCTTTCCTTTTGCTAAGATCAAACTCAAGTCCCCAGGCCATTAGCAATGCCTTTACCATCTGCGCCATTTCTTCTGCCTAGTGTTCCGGGGAAATTTTAAAACAGAGATTTAAAATTTAAGCATTAAAATCTGAAAGCTATCACAGGACTATCCAGGATGTAGGAATTTGCACGCCCGGTTTTAGCCTGCTTTGCTCTCTTCCTTCAGGGACCACGCCCCGATGTGTTCATCACACCCTTCGGCTGTCCTCTACTGACTTTCCCACTGGCTTCTGGTCCTCTGCTCTTGTTGGTTTTTAGACGTTCTTTATATAGGAAAGCTGTTTATGCGCGTAAGCTGCAAAGTTCTTCTCAACATGCTCATTTTTAGACCCTGTATTTCTGGGGTGAAAATAAGTAATGTCATTGCAGCTACATTCATAATTCCCTCCCTCTGGGGAGGGCAGTCCAATCACCAAGAAATGTATTATTTAATTCCTGGAGCACCCAGCATCTCGGAGAGTGGTATCTTACTTTTTTTTTGGTTGTTTGAGACAGGGTTTCTCTGTGTACCTGTTGTCTTGGAACTCACTCTGTAGACCACGCTTGAACTCACAGAGATCCGCCTGCTTCTACCTTCCTAGTGTGTTGTAAGGAGCTGCGGGCCGCTTCCCACCACCGGGCTCCTGGCCGCCGGCTAGCTTTACCCAAAATAATTACACGGAAACTGTATTCTTTTAAACACTGCCTGGCCCATTCATTATCTCTAGCCTCTTACTGGCTAACTCTCACATTTTGACTAACCCATTTCTAATAATCTGTGTGGTGGCTTACTGGGAAAGATTCAGCATGTCTGACCTGGCAGCTGGCTCCATGGCAATCTGACCAACTATGCTTTCTTTCGCCCAGCATTCTGTTCTGTCTACTCCACTTATCTAAATCCTGCCCTATCAAAAAGCCAAGGCAGTTTCTTTATTAACCAATGAAAGTAACAAATAGACAGATGACCCTCCTCCATCACTAGTGCTGGGATTAAAGGCATGTGCCACCACCACCTGGCTATTTTGTTTTTTAATCTCTAAATGAACATCTGTGTCTCCCCAAAACCAGCCAAACCAAGCCAAGATAAGATCCCAGACATTCTTTCCGCTCTTCTATCACACAAACGATGCCAACGCAGGGCTCGTGTGCATACCCACCCCAAATATCTACGAGATTCTGCTTCTCAGCACCTGGAGGTTTGGCTTAGAAACTTGGCCTTTGTCTGTCTACTTACACACGTGACATTTCTCACAAGGCACACTCATGGTTTAAACCTAAAAGCCTCAAACTTCCCAGCAGTGCTGGTTAAAAATAACGCATCGGTGATTGAGGGGCTAGGACCTGGGCAGGCCGTCCATCCAAACGGGTCCCACAGAAGTGGGGGGTGCAGCCAGCCACCTCTGTCCATCCTCCCCCGCCCCCGCCCTGTGTACCTGTGATGGTCTGTGTCTCCGAACTGATGGTCCTTGTGGTGGTCTGGGTCTGGGTGGCAGGCACTGTCTCCTCCGACACAAACTGGACTGTGCTAGGGGCTGTCACCGGCGTGCTGGTCAGCTGGCAGCCGCTCTGCTTGTGAGCTACGAAGGCATCCAGGTTGCTGAACTGCTGCTTACAGATACCGCAGATGTGGATGTCCGGAGTCAGCTCTACCAGGACCGTGGTGCCTCCAGGGACTCCATGGGACAAAGGAAAAATCACAGATTAATTTCAGACCAGTGTCACGGCAGGAGGCTGACATGGTCATGTCTCTCCTTCTTTCTTGGAAACCTACTCCAAGTTCTCTCATAGCAGCTGTGTCCCCAGATGGGAGCCATGGTCTGTGACGCAGCATTGCTCACGGGCACCACTGAGGGCTTGGGGTTTGTCTTTTACAAGAGAGTTCTTTCAGAGCTGGGGAGGCAGTCCACAGATTGCTTGCTCTGCAAGCATGAGACCCCGAGTCCAAACCCTAGAGCCCGTGTAAAGAGCTGGGTGTAGGGTGTGAGTTTGTAATCTAGCATAGGGGAGGAGGCAGGGGGATCCCCAAGCCTACTTGGCAAGTGTTTCAAAACACAAGAAATGGTACCCGAGGAACAACATCAGAGATTGGTGGCGCACGCCTTTAATCCCAGCACTCGGGAGGCAGAGGCAGGCGGATCTCTGTGAGTTCGAGACCAGCCTGGTCTCCAGGACAGGCTCCGAAGCCACAGAGAAACCCTGTCTCGAAAAACAAACAAACAAACAAACAAAACACCAAAAAAAAAAACCCAAAAACAAAAACAAAAAAACCCAGAGATTGTCCTCTGGCCTCCACATATGCGCACACACAAGGATGTATACCAGTGTATCCACACACACACAACCACTAAAAGACAAAGTTAATTTGATGTGTAGGACTGCCTAGCCCTTCCCAGGGACTGAGGCCAAGTCTTGCCCCAATAGGAAGGTCACTATGGAAACTTCCCCCATCCCAACACACAGTCCCAAATGCCTCATTACCTACAAACCCACTAGTTCACAATGGTGCTCCCTGACAGATGTGCGGACTCCTCCAGCACACACACCACAAAGGGAGCAAGGCCAGCTGTGGCTTCCTCTTCCTAAAGATGCTGATGCAGATGTGATGTTCGCACATCAGCAGACACTTTATAATTATGAAGAAAATGCCCAAATCCCTGATTCTTGTTCCCACTTCCCTGGTCTCTGAATGCAACCCCAGAATAGATCAATTAGGATGGTACAGTTCAGGTTTCTGGCACTTGCAGACTAAATTCATTCTTAACTAACAGGGACATCTTTTTTTTTTTTTTTTTTGGTAGCAATGAGAGAGAGTTAGTAACTGTATTAAGAGCTTCAAAGCAACTAGCATGGTACCTGATACTATATTAGAAGGTAATATAGCTTCACATGCTATAGAGGGCTCACCTTGCATATCTGAGGCCCCAAGTTCGAACCCCAGCACCTCCTAAAAATGGCGTGGTTGATGGAGGCACACAGGCCAGTAATGCAATCTCAGCCACTAGAGAGGTGGAGGCTGGAGGGCTGGGTCTTAAGACTCCTCGTGGGCCTTGGCCAGTTTGAAACACCTAGACCCTGTCTCAGAACAACATCGAAAGAAAGCACTATATAAACATTTGTTAAACAAGATAACAATTGGGCTGAAGAGATGGCTTAGTGGTTAAAGAGCCCTGGCTGCTCTTCCAGAGGTCCTGAGTTCAATTCCCACACGGTGTTTCACAACCATCTAGATAATGGAATCTGATGCCCTCTTCTGGCAAGATAACAATTAATTAGTAAGTCTCAATACGAGAAATTTAATTTTTATCCTTAAATTTTTCCTTTGCGGAGTTGTAGGGATGGCTCTGTAGTTTTACTGCTTATGGAGCGTCTGAATTCAGAACCCACACTCATTAGCACACGACCAGCAACGTCGGCTCCAGGGGATCTGACCTCCACGAGCACTGGCTCTGAAAACCACATACCCATTCCTATGTACACATACAATTAAAAATAGAAATAAAAACTTAAAATTTTTCTCTTGTATTATAATAAAACTCGCACAGAATAAAATCTGGAATAGTAAGAACTGGCAGAAAAAAACCCCTCAAATATTAGCCACTTGTACTTTCATAGACATTACAAACACATTTTCTATTTATGCTTAAAAATTCATTTTTCCCACTGTATTGTGAAACTAATCTTTCCCCTATATAATACCAAACATGAAAATTCTTTATACATGTAATTGCTTAGTGGGAACATGTTACTCCATGGTATCCATGTATCATATAATAATGTCTGTAACTAGTCAAGTTAAATATTGCAAGACTACATTTGCAGAACACAGTGCCCGTACCATGCAATTTTCTGAAAATTATGAGCTATTTCGATTCTGTCCAGTTTCCTTCAGGACTAAGACAAGGCATTTGCCTGAGGTGTCCTGTTGTCGACGTCCCAGGGAAAGTGATGCTGGGGGGAGCGACACTTTAGAAGTCACCTTGCAGAATGCCTCAGAAATTAACAGATGATGCCAGGAACAAGGTGACCACAGGGACAGCCCCAGTACTAGGGAAACGGTGAGAATGAAGCCATATTTGTTCAGCTAAGGTTGTCTTCGTGGTGGACTAGTATTGGTGTCCAGGAGGAAGCAGTTTCCGGTACTAAGTTATGCTTCTGGTACTCACGAAAGAAGTAAGTCACAACGGGGACTTTTCTTAGCATCTTTAAACTGACACTATTAACACTGACTTTAGCCCTGGGTTTTCAGTCTGCAAAATGAGGAGGGCAAGACAGGTCTCTTCTTAGGGCCACCAAAGAGTAAAAGGGCTAATGCCTGAAAGGGGGCCCAATACCAACTCCAAACCAGGTCACGTGGTGGGGTCATCCCTTTTAAAGTGCATGGTACCCGGAGACACTGAGACACGATGGGGTGGGGACTGGGGTTCAGTGAAACCTCTCCGTTTTATACGTCATGTAGGGCACACGCAGGCAAGTTTGGGAACCAATGGCTCTAAGAACAGCAGTTAGCAAACTGAGCCAGGTGTCTGCAAACCGGGGCCAGGGCTTTTCAAACTTCCGGTGCTTCAGGGAAGACCTCAGATTCTGGTCCCACCCCCGGAGACCTGGGGGGGGCGGACCTAGCCGCCTTGTTTTAAACACATGCTGGCGCTCCAGGTGGTGGCCTCGGTTCAGTCCCTGGCCCATACTTTGGGAAACAAAGGCGTACGGACACGGACATACTAAGAACTTAGAGGGGGTAAAATCAAAGCCTGGAAATGAGAGAACACGAAACTCAGAGCAAGCCACCACAACCTGGTCTTCCCTACTCCCCCCGCCCCCCCCCCCACCCGGAGTGCTGGGGAGAGCTTTACAATCCTGTCCACAGAGCTCTGACTTGAGCCACTGAAGCAGAAGTTTCACTACCTGTCTGCCCGGGTCACCCCACTTTCTTTTTCTCTCCGCAACACCCCAAACTCTGCCAGGCGGGCGGGGAAGGTGGTGATGGTCTCTGCAAGGCATGGCCTTCCCGGACCATGCCTCCACGGGAGTGTTGCAGGGGTTCTGCTCCCAGCCCAGCCTCTCTCGGGGACGGGGGTGAGGGTATGCAAGGTGCGCCGTCACCCGGATCCCAGATACACGGGGCCTGCTCGCCCGGCGGGCACTAGCTGCATCCACCCAGCACTTACTTTGCACCGACCCTGAGAAGCTGTCGCCCTCGCCGCCGCTCGCGTTCATGGCCTCAGACCTGAGGTGCCGTTTCTGGGAGCCCCCGAGTCGCCCTACATGCTTCAAAGACTTTACACTTGCATTTTTCCCGCACACCCCCCCAACTCTGCCTGTCTGCTCCCAACTCTGAGGCGGGGACGGATGTACAGTCCGCGCCACTTCCGCTGCCTAGAGGGCGCTGGCCCGGTGCGCCCAGCCGGGTTCTCATATTGTGCTCTCTCGGGGACGCAAGAAGGGACCTGAGACCCCGGGTCCGTATTCCACCACTTCACCGCAGGCACTCTGGGGGCTCTGTGGCCACCGTACACCTTTGCGCCTCGCTCTCCTTGGGACCCTCATTCTGCTGCAGATGCCAGGAGATTATGGGGTCCTCCCAAAACCACCACGGAGCCTGCATTCATAAGTAAAAGCAAAGGACCTTTATTCAGACTAAAGCTTAGCCTCTCAGTCTGTTCAATGCTTGCGTGTTAAGCCTCTTTCCCACCCTTGCAATAAATCCCTACGAAGTAAGCATTTGAAAACAAAAGACCTCTTTCCTTACAGACGCACTCTGTGATTCGGCACATAATAGGTTCCTCATACACACGTCTTGGACCATGTGCAACTTTTCCATGCCACTTCCTTTAGAATTGTGTCTTATGGGACCAGTGAGATGGCTCAGCCAGTAAAGGAGCTTGCCATTCAAAAATGCAAGCCTGAACTCCTGAGTTCAAGCCCCACAACCCACATATATGAGGAAGAAGAGAACAAACAAATGTACTTCTTGTGGTGTGGGGGGTCCCCTCTCTACACCCCCGCTAAATAATTGAGCCAGCCACCTAATACAGGCCCTGGCTGAGGAGGGGACATGCTAGACCCTGGGGTCCTGGAGACAATCAGACAGTCGAGCCAAGCAGTGCCTTCTCCACTGTGACAGACAGTAAACCCTCTGAAATCCTGAGAGAAGCAATCTTCTCCTGGAAGTTGCTTCCGTGAGGCATTCAGTCACAGCAATGAGAACATCAACTAACATAATAACTAAGGAAGCAAACCTTTGTTCTGTGGAAGTATGTTTCCCTTCTCAGTAAAGAGCAAAGCTACTATAGGACAGCACAGGAGCGTTAGAGAGTCCATTTAAGAGTCCATTTAAAGTTGATAACAGTTGTTGTTTTCCACTTCTAACTAAATTCGATTTAATTTTATTTTTTATGTATATGGGTGTTTTGCCTGCATGCCTGGTGCCCAAGGAGTCCAGAAGGCGGCTTTAGTGTCAGAGCCCCTGGAGCTGGAATTACAGATGGTTGTGAGCCACTGTGTGGGTGCTGGGAATCGAATCTGGGTCCTCTGCAAGAGTAGCCAGGACTCTTCACTGCTGAGATGGCTCAGCCGGTAAAATAGCTGCTGTTTTTAACACTCCCCATGTTCTTCTAAATAAAGGCTAACAGTGATCGCTAGTGTGGCCAAATAGCGGTTTAAGATACCAATGCTCGGTTGACCACGGCTGGTGGGCAGCTGGGTGGGTGGCCTCTGTTCTGCATCTCAGGGAACCCACGCTCATCTCTGCTTCCCAGGCTTTTGGCTTCCTGCTGTGTCTGTCTAATGGGGAGAATGGAGAAATCTGAGGATTGATCCTTTGTCAGTCCTTTATCTGGTCTCCGTGGCTGTGTCCACCCCCTGTAGTCCAGGATGGGTCCCCTCGTGGTCCACAGTGGCCTCATCTCTGCCAGGTGACCCACTCTGAAATCACCACCCTTCCCTTTTGTTCCCCCTCTTCTCAATACACAATGTGTATTTTCCCGAGAGCTGGCCTGGAGTCTTGCCTGGCACCTAACTCAGGGTGACACACTATATGGTTTTCACTATTTTCATCAGATGACTCTACACAAAGCAAGCACACACAAGCCTGCCTCTCTTCTGTAGGGCTAAATAAACATGGAAATATCCGAATCTTACCTAGGCATACAATGAAAAGCAAGCTCTTCTCTGCCCCAGTTATCTACTGACAGGGACCCCAGATTCTCTCCCAGGAATCAAGCTCTGATATCAGTTTCTGAGGTGTGCATTAAAACGCTTTTATTGACATACAAAGGCCTTATGCAAATTCAGGATTTTTTTTAAAGCAAATACTACAAGGCAGAGACTTCCCCCTGTGGTTTTTTTTGCATGACAATGAGACCAGGAAATCAGGCTTGCTTCAAGAATTCAAAAAAGGTTTAGTGCTGTGGGATCCTATATGCTGTGAATATGTATTGTTCTCATTGGTTGATAAATAAAGCTGCTTTGGCCTATGGCAAGGCAGGATAGAGTTAGGTTGAAAATCCAAGCAGCAATACAGGTGAAGAAGGGCAGAGTCTGGGAGATGCCATCCAACTGCCCAAGGAACAACACGCCAGCAGACCAATAACACCATTAAAGTATCAGAGATGGTTCCAGGTGTGATACCATAGGAATAACCCTTTCTTAGTTCTGAATTAGGAGAACAGAAGAGGCACCATCATGTTCAACACTTAAGTCTACTTTCAATCTTCACCCTTGTTCTAAGGGCACCCAGTTTAAAGAGTTACTCTAAACGTTAGGAAAAAGAGATTTTTTTCATACTCATTTCTCAGACCTCAGAGGAATTATAGTGTTTTTAGATAAATATTCAATGTTTGCATCACACAAACAGTGGCCCTGGCTGAGCCAGAGTGTGTCTATTCTGATTGCTTCTCCTTTGTGCGATACTCTTTGTTTTCATTGGCATTAACAACATCTTGTTTGCTTACTTTTCTATATGATCGTTCATCTCAACTACTCACTGCTGGCTGTACAAACATCTCTTACCATATCTGAACACAAGTTTGTATCTGTAAATCTTGTGTTTTTAAAGCCAGCTCCTCAGTCTAGAGAGGGCAGCTGAGTGGCAAGAGCCCCAGAGTACTGTTTTTAGCATCATCCTGAAGCTTCTATTTATTTATTTAATGTGTGTGTGTTTGTCTGTGTATGTGCCTGTATGTATACGTGTACCATGTGGGTGCAGATGCTCGCTTAGGCCTGAAGAGGGCGTTGAATCCCCTGGAGCTGAAATTACAGGTAGTTGTGAGCCTCCCAACCTAAGAACACACTGAGGAATGAACTCAGGTTCTCTGGAAGAACAGCAAACATACCTCTCTCCCCCTCTCCTCATTCTGTGGAGGTTTTTTTATTTACGTGTTTTACATTTCTAACCCCAGGATTTTTCTTCCTGTGTGTTTTCGTTTTGCTTTTTTCATGGACTATAATGCCAGCTGAGGACAATGAAACCAAACTGGCGGGATGGGAGCAGTTTGTTCTGCCATTTTTTTTAGGTCTTTGAGTTGCACATCAAATATAGGGTTTATCACTCCACACTTATTCAACCTGCCTATGAGATTCACAATGATTTTCCCAGCTCTCTGGTCACAGTGATTTCAAATTCACTGATATAACTGTGCTTCATCGTCACAGGAACCGAATGATGGCTTTGGGGCCTGATGAGGTCCTGATATTTGCCTCTCTTCTCAGCAGTTTTGATGCCCTTGAGAGCATCAGGCAGGACATTCATGCGCACCATGGCCCAGAAAGATGGCAGAAAGAGTATGGGAGGATCCAATGCTGCACAAACACTCCTCACCACGGAGTACTCTCTCCAGCCCCTGTTATTTGCATTTTAAGAGTTAGCATCTTGTTCTTATTTTGTGGGTGGGGAGTTTAATCTGTCTGAGGTTTCTAAAGCACTGGGCGCCCTCGCCCATCCAATGTGCTCTAGCTTCCTTCCTGTGGTCTGACTTGCACCACTGGGGTCTTGGCCTTTCAGGGACCCTCAAGGGTCTTGTGTACCTGTCCAGTCTTATTCTTGAAAGCAGCCACAAGGAGGTGATTGACAGTTCTGGGAGCATGGTAGGTGTGTGGTGGTGGTGGGGATGTTAATCTTGAGCTTGGGCATTGGTGAAGAGGGACCAATTCTGGGTTGTGTCTTCCTTACATGGTCTTCCATTTAACTAATTAATTAAAAAATTTTTTGAGACAAGGTTTCTCTGTGTAAACAATCCTGGCTGTCCAGAAGCTCACTCTATAGACCAGGTTGGCCTTGAACACACAAAGATATTTTATTGATTTATTTAGCATGTATATGTATGTATCTATGTATGTGGGCCATGGTGCACATATAGAGGTTAGAGGTCAGAGGTCAACTTTTAGGAGTTGGTTCTCTCCCTCCACTGTGTGGGTCCCAGGAATTGGACTCAGATTGGTAGTCTTAGAGGTAAGCACCTTTACCTGCTGAGCCATCCTTCCTGCCCTCGCTTTGCATGTTCTATACTGGGCAGATTTCCCAAAAAAGAACTGTATGCTGACTACCTGGAGGGTATGATCTTTCCTGTGTCTCTCAGAATGTGGTAGGGAAGGGGAGTTGGGGTGCCCCAGATGTTCTTTGTAAACTTTACCCCTACCCCCTTTTCCATTCCTTTTCTCTCAATAAAACCCCTGTATGTGAACACTGTTTGCATGGCTTGTCTGTCTCTCTCCCACTGTGGACTCTCACCTGCAGTGGGCCTCCTTGGATCTGCCTAGGTCCCTCTCATGTGCCGTGCCGTGCCATATCATAACATTGGTGTTGTGAAACTCAGCAGGCTTTCCCGACCATGTGAGATGTGTTGGGATCCTGGAACCATCAACAGCATCACTTTTCCAACTCAAGGATTGCTGGGCCCCTCCATCCATCCCTGGTAAGCCACTCCTCCACCTCTGGCCACTTCCCCCAACTGAGGATCCCTCTTGAAGAACCAAAGTTCTTCCATTTTGTCCTCTGCCTCCATCTTGTGTCTTGTGTAAGCTATTTCCCATAAAACTCATTTCAGTCCTCAGAAATGGCTAGGGACAAAAGTAACAGGGTAGCCACCTGGAAAGTACAGGTAACTGCACAATGTCCCCTCTTAAATTCAGTTCCTGTATGTGTCTTTGTAGCTATTGATTAAAAAAGTGATGTAAACAGCCAAGTGATCTCTTTTAAACACCTCCAATGAGCTCTGTTCACTGTATCTCCTTCCAGACTAAGAAAGCAAGTCTCAAATATTTTATTTTGGTATGTGCTTTTAGATGATGATAAAAATATATGGTTAGATCTGTTACAACATACTGTATATGTGATTCAACTCTGCTTTAAAATATATTCTATATGGTGATAAAATTTAAGGTTATAAGCATCACCTGTTCAGACTGTGAAGGACGAAATGATCAAGTTCTTTAATTGTGGTCATGCTAAGTACTGATGTAATTCATCACAGGGGTAAAGCCTTACTCAGCCCCCTAAATGTTTTCAGAGTTAAGCTTGAAACAGATAACTAAAGACAAAGTTTGTCTACTCAGATATACCCAATAGACGGAAATGTTCTCAAATGCTCAGAGATCTGCAGAAAATGGCATTTAAAATGTTTACGTAAAAAGCTTTTTTTGTAACAGAGAGACATGCCTGCTCCAGGCAGCATCCCTGTCTCCTCCAAAGAAGATAGATGGGCACAGAAGAACCTCCACCCAGAACTTGCTTCAAAAGTGGCAGCGCTAGCCTCTGAATAAACCTGCCTCTCACCTCAGCTGCTGCGAAGACCCACTTCAGACCATGGACAAAACACGACACTGGGGAATTGACAGCCTCGAGCTGCCTGGACAAAGGTAGACTGGTTCTCCCATGAGTCCTTACTCCAGAGAAACCTGTGGGATCTTCTGGGACCTTGCAGGTCTACCTCTGCCAGCTAGAGGTGGGATGTTGCCCTGAGACCTCTGCCCTCAACGACTATGGAGGACCCTGGGGTGTCTGCGTAGGTAGCCAAGCAAGTAAGTCTCTGTCATTTTTAATCACTAACTCAGGTGAGATTTATCCTTCTCCGAACTCTGATGCTGTTTGATGACTAGGCTAGTGGGAGCTTTGCCAGTTTGGCTGCAGCAACTAGGGCTTCAACTGCATCCCCAGGCTCCAGCTGCCTTTGTGGTTCTTGATGTAGGGTTAAGGTCACAGGCCTCACTCTCCTAGAGCTAATACCAAGTCTAGACACAATTTACCTCATTACCAGACTCAA